CCCCCTGATGAAGTACCCCGGGTACTATACAAAAACAGTAAAATACCCGGGGTACTTTAGTCAAAGAAATACGGTATGTAAATGTTCTGAGTGTTGAATATGTAAAAATTGTTCTTGAAGAAACTGGAGAAAAAGCCCCAGCTTACCTTGTTGGCCCAGACATGATTTCAGACAGTGATAACTGCATTTGAAAACATCTTAATCTGTATCAAAGAGATGAATCAGATTTTGCAAACGCTTTTAATGTTGGATTGAGGTATATATATACATTAACATGGGCCAAGAGGAATAGGGAAGAGCCTTTTGCTATTTTACCTTCATGCATATCTTAATATTAAACAGGGTTTCGTGTGGTCTATTTGAATAATTGTTCTGCTTGGAGACGGAGTTATTTACTGGCAGAGATCTCGTCAGCATTCTTTAATGACCAGAATATTATTGATCATCTTGTTTCAGTGACAACTTCTGTAAGAAGTCCATTTGTAGTGATCATTCACAAAATGGCAGGTAAAGCATTAGCAGTAAAACAATGAATCGGGATGGCACCCCCAAACATTTATGAATTCAGGATGTATGAAACTTCCAGAGAGCAGGCAGTCCCGAGGTCCCTAAGTAACTATTCTGATCCATGAGTAGCTTGCTTTAAACACAAGATGTCAAAAGTCGACTAACTATTTTGTTTACAAGGAGTCATATAGTAAATTAGTCTTTTATTTCAGGGTCTTGTGAGTATCCATAAAGTTGAACGATATGTAGGTTTACATGTACATATTATTTCCATTTCATCGAACTGCTTTATAAAAAGATTTAAAATTTTCCCTAAGAGTACAGGCAATTCAGCTTTTGTTTGTTTGTTTGCTTAGTAAACAAAAAAGGAAATCTATATTTATCTGTATATAATTTAAAAAAACTGGATGCTGCGAGGTGGACGGACATTGCATATTCGTGTTACAAAATTATCCAATAGATGACCATCACATGTTCATCATACAACCGCGACTTTAATTATTATGATTATGGATAACGTTAGCGAAATAAAAGTATATAAAATAACCACCACGCTGTCAACAAAGTGACAGGTTATACACTAGTTTCTTGCAAAAAAACAAGCTCTTTTCTTTTTTGGCTAATTCATCAAAGCAGCACAGCACATTTAAATGGTGGACCCTCGATATGTCACTTTTGATATAGTCACATTTGTAGGTATGGCCCATTGACATTTCTTTCTGAACTAGATAACGAAGCAAGACTCGCATTATCATGTGACCTAGCTTATACATTTATTTCTCCATAAAAGGACATGGTCGGGACAGTCAAATTGTGTTCTATCATAAACAAATATTTTATAATATTTATTGACCAATCAGAGTGACAATATAATGATTAATAAAAGTTACGTAACTATGAAAACAATGAGGTCCAGATTCTAATCGGTTGCTCTTACTCTGTTTACACCTTTTCTAGTTAGATTAATCCCAAACGATTATAATAAAATGTTGTTAGCCAATCAACATGCAATGCTCTTATATGGCGGTACATGTAATATAGGCGCTCTTCAGAATATGTTCTTGTTCCTTTATAGGTTGTTCTTTTATAAAAGAGCTTTTAAAAATTGAGAATGGGTAACACAAGTAGTTGATTTTAAGTATCGTCGGTTTTATTGACGTAACTATCTAAGTTTTAAAAATTCTATGTGCTTTGGCGTTGTGGGACATGTTTCGAATTGTGACACTACAATTATGTAAATTATTATACTGTTGTGTTTTTGAAAAGTCATATTGCTATATATTCACACATATGGCAGCAGTATACAGTCATTTTATATCAAATTAGGTTGACATAAATTCTCTTTCGAATATCAGTAAGAGTAACTCGCTTTACTGCAGGTTTTTACTAATACTAAAATCGATCATCGTTTTCTTAATTGTCATGTCGCAAACGAGAATTCATCTCTTAGTTTTTTATATAAATCTCAAAAAACATCATTATAAGGTTATATCGCAAGATTAGAGTGATTTCAAGTCGTATCAAGGTGACAGAAATTAGTTAAGCGAAATTGTTTACTCAAAAAGCTCCATGGTATACATCTTACTATGTTATATAATGGTACACATGAAGGTCCGCTTTAACGAAGATGGCCTTATAACGAAGCTTTTTTATAGAACTGATTCTTAACGAAGATTTATAATTAAAGAAATTTCAAACCCACTAATAAAAAAATCATTCAATTTAACACAGAGGTTCGGTTTATTAGAGATCTTACCAACACATCGCATGTAATAAAGTGTCTAATTCTTCGCCCATTCAGGTTCCACGTAAACAAATTGTTGGACATGTTTAAAGGCATTTTATTAATCAATAGAAGTAAATAAATAAATCCTGCTTTATAACGAATATGTCACGTGATCATGTATACCGAACCGTCCGCATTAACGAAGTTTTTTGGCGGAACGGAGCTCTTCGTTAAAGCGGACTAATAGTAAATAAAATATTTCCAAATTAGGCGCCTCTCTCACACAGATCTCTCGCAATTTTCCATTGATCAAATTTGTATGACAGCCAATAAAACTGCAAATGCGGCCTTGTACTGACGTATGCAGCTAATAATGACAGCATGAAGTGGTAATTCACCGAAGTTCTAGTATATTAGTATGCTTTTTATCTGTATACTTCCACTCATACAACCAAATATAGGTTTTCGAAGTGTCTTATGAATTGAGGCCAGAAGCCGTAAATTTACGTATTAGATTTACAAGTATAGCAATGAACCACTAAAACACAGATTGAAGATATCCTATTCAAACCGGGAGGTAGAGGTCTAAATTTAACAACGAAGTCTGTATGCTTCGGCTTAACTTTTCCTGTTCCGCTTTTAAAGTGTTATTTTTTTCTCGGTAGCCAAATGTGGGCAACTTCTTGAAAGACAATCGAATGAAGGAGTTGGCGTGAATATTGCCAAAGTTGTTTCTGCTGCCATACCATCATTTATTTTCACATACTAAACACAGCACCATGATGTATATATTGCGACCCGTTCTGGGATTTGACCCATTTGAGAACGGGTCAACCCGTTTCAAGATTGTCGGACGTTATCACATAAATTGTGCACTTTATTGGTGCAAGAGATTATTCCAATGTGATAATCTCGAAACGGGTCCATAACATGCACCTTTTCAGACTTTTTCGTGGCTTTCGTGACTTTTCTTGTTTCGTTTATAGAGGGTAGCAATCGCCATTTTGTTCTATCTAGTATTGACGTTCCCGATAAGCGATATCAATAACTTTTATAGTGCTATGTAAAAACTTCTTCCTAACAGTCGTGAAAAAAACAATTAATATTTGCAAGTTTGATTGGATATACCGGTAATTCGATTACTACAGTCGCACCTCCATAAAAGAACCCTCTATAAAAGAACGTCATATAAAAACCTCTTCACAAGAACATTGCATCAAAGACCCAATTATTATTAAACTTATAAAAAAAAACCTTTATAAAAGAACACCTCTTCATAAGAACATTTTTTTCAAAAATCACTATGGTCCCAACTTGGTTCTTAAATAGAGGTGCGACTGTATTACTATTACTATTACTATTACTATTACTATTACTATTGTCCATAGAACGTTCACCGAGATTAGATGTATCCAATCAGAGCGTATACCTGGAGACAAGCACAACTGACAGCAAAATGCCGCCATACTTGTGAGGGTTCCAACAGCGCACATCCACAACCGCGTCAAGTAGGGTTTGCCAAATGTGAGAATTTTTTCAGTCCATGCTATACTTATTATTATGTTTATCAGTTGTGGCGTCCAGCAGTTATACCCCTGAAATTTCTTGTGGCGTCATGTTTTCTTTGGCAGGTTTTGTTGCATATAATTATAACAGCAGTTATGAAGATCAGATTCCCATTCCTTCATTCATATAAAAAGACATGGCTCAAAATAGCAAGAAATACGTTGCTGATGGTATTTGCCTTAGTTTTTTATGAAATACTTCTTTCTACAGTATTGAATCTTACATAATCTTGCTATGTTGGTGCGATAGTTCTTATATTCGCCATATCGCAAGTAGCCTTATATTTTGGTGTAAAGTACATAATGAATTCGCTCGACCCTAACAAAGAAAAGAAGAAAGAAGTTAAAAAGAAAAGCAAAGAGGTTTTAGGACGACTTGGAGTAAGATCAACGACTTTTACTATAACATAAGAGCCTTCAGTCAAACTAAGACAAGTGTTCTTCTTTCTGTAGAAAGATGAATTGAAATTGAATGAATACGAAGAAGTAATTTTGTCTGAAGTAGTATTTTCCGAAGACATAACGGTCACATTCGACCGTGAGTTTTTTTTATCCAATAATGTTTTTGAACTAACAACGAAGTGTTTTTTGAAACTGACAATCTAAACTATTCTTTCTCTTTTTAATTTAGAGATAGGGGGTAATTATTGTGGATTTTCTGACGGGAATAGTCTAGAAGCATCTTGCTCAATCGATACGGTTTTTGTACTGGCTCGAGTAACAAAAATATTCATCGATTGCAGGTCTTGATCAAATAATATGGTCACTAAAAGAGAGTGTCATATATCCATTACGCTATCCGCAATTATTTGCGTCAAAATCTGGCTTGTTGGGCGTACCCAAGGGTGTTTTATTCTATGGACCACCCGGTAGTTACACTTTCATCAACAAGTAATAGTCTCAAAAATATTTGCACCTACCATTCTATCTTTCGTTTTTTAGGTTGTGGGAAAACCATGCTGGCAAAGGCATTAGCCTGTGAATCAGGCGCGACTTTTATCAATCTTCATGTATCGACTCTTACTGACAAGTGGTACGGGGAATCCAATAAACTTGTTGCTGCGGTTTTCTCAATAGCGAGAAAGTTGCAACCCTGCATTATTTTTATCGACGAAATAGATGCATTCTTGAAAGAACGAAGAAGTAGTGATCACGAAGTCACTGGATTAATGAAAGCTGAGTTTATGAGGTCAGTTAATATCGCGTAGGCGTAAGTAGTGCATAAGTGGAATTAACTGAATCAGTATCTTGCTCCTTGTAGCCTTTGGGATGGTTTGACAACCGATGAAAATACTCAAATCGTGATATTAGGTGCCACCAACAGGCCTACTGATATTGGTAAGCGAACAAGTTTAAGTTTATCAAGGATTCGAAAATAGTCTTCTTCAATTTTTGCAACCCGGAAATAGACTATGCGTTTCTTCGTCGTATGCCCAAAAGATTTGCTGTTAAATTACCGAACGATCAACAGAGAAAGAGTATTCTCCAACTGGCAAGTATGAATAGTAGTTGACACTAAATGCACTTGTATATATGATGTCTTACTTTCCCGTTATTGTAATAGATGCTACAAGATCAAAAGCTGGAAGAGAATTTTGACTATGACTGGCTGGTCGCTAACACTGTTGACTATTCAGGTTAGTCTTCGATGTTTTTTTCCAGAAGTTTTTATTTACTAATATTACCCATAATAGGAAGCGACTTGAAAGAAGCGTGTCGAAATGCAGCAATGATTCCTATCCGTGAATATATGCGCGCTAATGCTTCAGATGGCAATTTAACTGACATAGATCCATCGGTATGTATTTAATCTATTGAATAAATATATTTCATGTCTTATTCAGCTTTGTACTAATTATACGCATTGGCTTACATGCAGAAAATGATCATACGCCCACTAAGGATTTCTGATTTTTTCATCCCAGATACGCAAGCAGAAAATAATGCCACAACAGGTTCTGCTGTCGATGATCCAATCTGTAGTTTCAACGACGATGAGGGATTAGATTGAAAGGAGTCTGGCTATAACGATATATGACTCTCGTTCGTTATAATCTGATTTTATATTATATGCGACAAATAATAGTTTAATAAATCAAAAAATGTCCCAAATTTGTTCAGGGACAAAATGCCCACAACTTATATGATTACACAGAGCAGTTATTGTAAGATTTTCTCCTTCATAAAGCTGGAGGACCTCCTTTAGTGATGCAGATCCTAGTTCTTCAAACTGCGCAATCTCGTTTTTGTTTTTCCGAATAAAAATTACGTTACTGCCGGCCACTTTGCCATGTCTAATGTCGTATTATATCATTTACTTTTTTGCTATAGATACTATCAAGAAAATTACGAAACTTATTGAATGCAGTAGTAATATCATCAAACGGCTACACGCTAAACGAATCTACTTTGCAGATTTATATTAAGAACAGCAACCTTGAATTAATGCATAAAGACTTACTTAAAGGATATTCTAACTACTTATTACAATGCTGGGGCAATTGTATTCGTGGAAAAAAAAATAAGCGTACATGCTTGTTAGCAATAATAAATTATACTGAGTATCTTTTTGGTGAACGTTATATTAGATGAAAGCATTGAGCGACGAATTACAAGTAATAGTTCGAATTTTTAAGGGTAGAGCCGACAGTAAGCTATTATCTTGAGATTAAGCTCTACAATCAACCTTAACTTTGAGAAGCGATGTTGATATCTCTTGCTGACGATAAATATAAATAACAACTCACTTGTTAGTGTAGATGCTATGTGCTCCATTTGCAAAGGTAGACAAGTTACTGTCGGTAGGAATAATCGATCCTAGGAATAGTAATCAAGTATCCGCCAACGACAGATCAGATTATTGCTTCAAACCAGAAGTTTATTAGATAACTAGGCTGTTGCTTTGTTTGCTTTTTATTTAAATGTTGACTTGTGCTTAAAAGTAAGAATAAACTAAATAAATATGCGAGGGAGACGTGTATAACTTGAAGAAAATCCTCAAATTTGCTTATTACACTTTCATCGCGAAATTGCTAGCCAGTGACTTCATCTATTGCTTTTGTTGGCATGTCATTGTTCAACGAAGGAAACACCGGAACGTAATCTCCGTGTGTGATTAAATACTATTACCTATTTCACAGCGATATAACGGAGCGTTAGTTGTGCTGTAGTGTAGGCTAACACGCAATGTTGGGGACGAGACTAACGTTATTGTTGGCTTTAGCGACAAATACACAGTGAAAGTCGACTGGTCGTAATTGACATGTATGTTTGTATTGATAAATTACTCCTGTACTTCATAAATTCTAGGTTGCATTCGATATTAGGTAACGAAGCGCGGAATCAGCCAGATTCGACAATCGAAAATATGAGGTAAGTTTGACTTTTACGAACAGAGTTCTTCAAGAAATAAGTATGTTTTATTCAACCGTGTGTTCGAACTTTTTATACTGGGCTAAAAATATACCCATTGCATGAAACGACAACCAAGACCACTTGGTGTCGTGATTAAAAATGGGCTTATATCATTCTCACCATCGTCCCGAGAAAAGATATCAAAAAACGGTGAAATTTGACGCCTGTGTTGTAAAGGGATGAATGGGTTGAAGCAGCAGTGGAAAATTTTTCGTCGTATAAAATCGAGGGTTAACGCACGTGAAACGTATTACACAGTCACTCTCGATATAATGATCCCCCCGATAAGATGAAGTGGCCTAGTATGATTATGATGCTTTATTGGCACTAAATTGATCGGCAGAGACTTTTGGTCATCCATCTCGATCTTGGGATTATGATTAAATAATGTCATAATAATAAGAAAACTTTCTAGTCATTGTATATCATTTAGTCGCCCCAAATACTCATGGGGTTTATCTTTATTTACAACATTGTATCAGCTGCCGCGGACGTAATGTTGGCTGCACATTACTATGCTTAAACCCTTAACTCTGAGAAGCGTTCGGCCGTTTGATGTCTATTATTAGGTTTCCCAGCTCATATCTGTTAATATACTGGCTGACAAGAATTTTATCCTCCTGTTAGATAAAATTCTTATTCTAATGACGGGAGATTGGTAATAATATCTAACTTCATAGCAATAATACGCACATGCTTTAACGACATCTGCAGGTAAGGAATTGCAGTGAGACAGTTACTTAAACTTAGCTTAATAAAATGAAAATCAGATCACATTCGTTGATTATGATTATGTCAGAGCATTCATTGAAAATATTTGCGCTTTTATGATGATGGTGACTCGAGGTTTTTATTGCTAATATCTAATTCAGTGATTTATTTTCTTTTTTAAATGTGAGAGGAGAACTATTTACTCGAATTTATTATTAAACTACAAAGTGTTGTATGAAGTTGTCTCAATATGTTGATATTAAATAATGAGGTCAGGCATCAGGACGTTACAGGTTGTTGTGAGTATTTTGGGCTATTAGCATATTAATATTACAAATGACAAGCTCTTTTTTGAAAGAATAATTGTTGTATGTGACCAAACATTTGAATTTAATTAAAATGGTGGTTATTTAGTATTCTCATGCACCCCCTCTCATAGCAGCTGGTATATATGATTATGATAAACAGTGGGACATTCCTGATGTTTCTGTTAATAATGAGAGTTGGATCACCAACTGGGAGGAGCATGGAAGCAACATTTAGTGCCTTTTTTAATATCAGCAAGATAAAATATCTTATGAGCTCACATGGACTACTATTTGGATGGTGGATAAACTTTGTCAATTGCTGGACATATTAATATGCCTATTGTAATTGGGCAAAGCTCAGCCCAGCAAAATGTTTGCTAGTTCAGATTATGAAATAGGAACACAGGGAAAAGACATCCAAACTCAGATGTGACTTTTCAAAACCACACAGAATTGGAGACAGCAGGTGATGAGTTATTACTATTAAAAAAGGTGGGGAGTCTAACTAATAATTTGCAATCTTTACATAAGGAAATCATACCTTTACAATTAAATCAGATGGACATTGCATGGAGGGTCAGACAGAGGGTCAAATTGCTATCATGTAACCTAGGATCTGACTATGATGAATTAAAAAGGATCAGGAAAGAAGTGTCTGCTAAGCAGCTTGAAATTATTAATTCCAAAAAGGCACTTACAGAAGCCAAAAGCTCTTTGTATGCAATAAATAAAATGTTGAAAGCAAGACCTGCTCCTTATCCTACTATTGCTATTGCTACTACTACTACCCTAACCACTTACACTGCTACTAACACTGCTGTTACCAATATGACCTCAGCAGCAAAAGAGTTGGTAAGCTATGGTCGCTCCTTACCTTTCCTATTGCATGGTTCTTATGATTTGTTATTCCTTAGTATAGGCCAATTCCAAAAGTCATCAAGCACTACTTCCCAAAGAAAAAGGTCATCTTTGCAGGCACTGACCCTGGTATTGTCACAACTACTACGACGATACCCAAAACACTTGAAGAAATATGTGCTGATATTGATCGCTTTCAAGCCCTTTTACTTTCCGGCACAGATGGATTTGATAAACAATTCAGTGTTAAGCAGCTCCCTAGGTGTAGTAAAATTACCTCTGGTCTTATCAATAGTGTGACTTTCCTAAGGCGTCATCAAAAGAAGGATGAGCGAAGGCGAACAAATGGTATGGATGAATTGATCCGGCAAAAAAAGTTATCCAAAGGGCACCGGGAGCGAGAAATCCGCATTCAACGAGCCTACGGAAAGATTATTGGGCAAGAACGGAGGCAAATTCGGGCATATGCTCAACCTTCTGTCGGCAAGCAAGTACCAGCGATAATCCATTGTTGTGGACATTGGAAGAGCACGGGAAGTACCATCAAAGGACAGTCGCGGAGAGGGACAAAAAAAATTATAGAGCAATATCGAAATCATGGGCATGTTGAGTTCACTAATGAGCGCAATACATCAAAGATATGCCCGTATTGTTTCTCTGAAATCGACCTCCACAAGACCCGTCGCATTGTTAACGGAACAGAAAAGATCGTGCGGTGCAGTTGAGTGCATTCACTCCCAATGTCCGGCAAAAAAAATTGGATACACGACAAGAGGAAGAGACACGAACGCGGCAGCCAATATTGCTTTATCCGGAGCTTCTAGCAAACCCCTTCCCTGCTACCGTCGTGATGCTAAACAACCAAGATACATTCTTGATACAAACCTATTATTATTATACAGTCGTGACACCGAGATGGTTCATCGCGACTTTATTCGCAAAGAATGAATATGGTGTTAGGCCAGTCCTATGTGTACTATGTATATGTGGTAAGTGAAGAATAAGTAAGGAGTGAGGATGAAGCTAGATTTTTGTTAGTGTTATTTGCTTACTATGTTCACTTTGTCTGGTTTTATTACAGCACATATTTGTCCACAGAGACCATAATAACAATAGACTGATATACTGTTCACGGCAATATAATCATTAATAACATTTATTATTATAATAACTTTTTGGTTATAATTATCAGCGTTCATAAATATATGTCATTCAAATATAATCTTGTTAACTCGGTTAATTTTAAATACAAGTATAGTCGAATGTTTGGGACAGCAATCGCTAACACATCACGTATATTTTTGGGACACAACCACCCGATACAGAAAAAAAGTCAAATAAACTTTTTTAAATGGGTAATTGTTAACGCAACGATTTTCTCGCGTTAAGAATTTTTTCCATTATACCATACTATCTCTATATTCAATATCCCATCCTCATATCAAATAAAAACAGAAAACAGGTATACTTATTACAATGCTTTGAGTATTAGTAAGCAATTCGGCACTACGTGCCTCATTCTCGGGCGATATTCGAATGATTTATGTGAAGCTAACAACTGCTAACAATTCGACGACATTCGAGTGCATTATAATAGTTAGCAATTTGGCACTATGTGCATCATTCTCAAATGACATTCGAATGAATTATACGAAGATAACAACTGCTAACAATTTGGCACTGCGCGTCTCATCATCGAGCGATATTCGAATGAATTATGCAAAGTTAGCAACTGCTAACAATTCGGCACAATGTGCCTCATTCTCCGGCGATATTCGAGTGCATTATATATAAAGATTACGAATACTAACTATTTCGGCACTACGTGCCTCAACTATGGCCTGTAATCACGGCACATACCTGAGACTATTATAGTCTTATCTAAGTCGTTTTTTGTTTATATAAACAAAAAAAAAGAATTCCAGCAATAAAGATTTCCCAATTTTGCCATAGTACCCTTGGTCCAGGTGAGAGTGAGTCACTGACATTGCCTGTAACTGTGTGTAGAACTTGATTATAGAGTTGAACAGAGAACATGGGCATCTTTATCAGGACAATTCTTGATTTTCATCATTTACATGTCTGTTTGTTTTGGGATTGTTTGTTCTTCACTATCTTTGTCTTGGATTATGGTATTTTCTAGAGTCAAATGTTTGTCTCTTTCTGGTATGTCAAGAATTAATCCTTGTCTTTATCATATTCTATCTGTCCTGTTTGATGGGATAAACCCTGTAGTATGTAGGGTTTCCAGAGAAAGCTTTTCATGTGCAAAAGCACAATTCTTGATAGCATGTCACATTGCTGAAGTATTAGTATGTGCTAATATTACTAGAGCTGACCTGGTCAATATTTCTGAAAAATTCTTTGGATGTTGATGTAATTTCCAAAAAGTTTAGAGAGGAGAGGTTCTAGTGCATATGCATGAGGAAGCCCACCAGTATCTGCTAACAACTGGTGTATGATTCTAGAATCCATTGAGCTTTGCATAATTTCAACACATGCTGCCAGGAAATGCCATGAATATTCGTAATTCAGTATTGATTACATGGAATTTATATTTGGTGCCATAATCTAAGTGTGTTTAAATACTAATTGTAATAAACAAAGTAAAATATTATTCAATAATTATAATAATAAGTGTACCACTTTAAATTTAATATGTTAATAAGCCATGAAATACTTCTCATAATACAATACATTCACAATTTGTAATATGCTATGAGTTCTAGTATAGCAAACTATTAAGACTCTGTTGGTAACTGGATTCCCCAGGATAACTTTGAGATATTTCGTAAAGTGGCAAATATGATGTTTCAATTGACAAACGCTTAATATTAATTGGATTAAGTCAAGTGATTAACTTGGTGTTACTGTCCATTCTATGCAATCGTTTGTTTTTCAGGATCTAGCTGTAAATTTGATATAGCAATTACTACAATGTTGCAACGCCATAAAGGTCTTCCGATTACTACGACATGATTTACAGATATAATTCTACAAGTTTCCGCATAACCAAAATCATAGATATATAGTTGGTGATTTTAACAAGGGAATTAATACTATGTTGGAATCGCGAATTGCTGTGCAGGTTCTGTTGATCGAAGACCGATAATTGGTTTGGTATAATACGTTCCTGGTATATTGACGCATCAACGGTCATGGGAACTATGTTTGTCGATTATATACGAACGATTTTCGAATTAGAGAACAAGGATCGAATGCTTCGTGTGAATGCGCCGTAGGACAATGTCTTTAATCATTCCAGCATTTGTAATTAAATATATCAATTATGTTTACTATAAGAGTTGTATTACGCTGGTGTGGGAATGCCAACCAGGACACATACCTTGTTAAGTCAATAAACAGTACTTCGTATCCGATATGACAAACTGGTTCGTCTCCCAATACGAGTAGATGATAATATGAGACTTAACCCTAAACTATTCCCGTTAATGGGTAGAGACGTAAGTTAGGATATTAGGGTTTGGGTGCATGTGACAAATGTTGATGGCTAAGCTAAGATGGGCAGTTGATGTTATAAAATGTCTAATGTCCACACATATTTAACGATTCTTGATTACAATTCGTACTACTATGTCAATATATCTTATTCAATAGGTCCATGGTCAAATATTATCGGTTCTCGGGTATGTTACAGTAAATTAACTTCACGAATTTGATAATAGGCATTATAGTTATATCATAATTTGACAGCATTTATATTGAACACAAATTCATTTGGGCCTGTACTTCTGCTCAAGAAAAGAAACAAGATAATCACATGGAGCAAACCCATTCATAAACAATATGAAACGCTTGAAAAAATGAGTGCTTATCACATAGCCACAATGGTTTCTTTATAGTATAATATATATAATTGCGAACACAATTAAACGAATTTGGTATTTGTAGATGTCGATCTCTAACACCACAGTACTTATCCATCATCAGTCCAGGACTTTCATGTGAGTAGGACACACACTGATGCTGTCAAATACGTCGTGCTACAAACAATCGCCTATTCTCCTGTACTATGACAATACCTCATTCAAGCATCACTTATACACTAATCTTATTGATCAGTATGATCCTTTGTCCCCGAATGGTCAGGTGATTTACGACATTTCCTTTTATGTGCGAATCCTGTTTGTGATTTCCTGTTTATTTTTATCTTTTTTTTTTCACCATCAGCGAAAAGCCCAGCTTTGTTTGCACGCGCGTGAGTGTAGGTAAGACAAGAAAGAACTCGCAGCGAGTGGGCAGGGTGCTAATGCAGGCTGTATGCGGGTGTGTGAATACGTGGGATGTATAGATAGACAAAGATGATGGCAAGCAGTGAATGCGAGAATGGGATGGCGTTGAGTAGCATGGATAAATTAGATTAGCACAATGGGCATAGAGGACAAATAGAATATAGCATACATAAAAGGGTAATGCATGCGGTACATATCAACTTACATAACTGCATATATTAATACCCATGTTACAGTATGTGAAAACAAGGGACGTAAATATGTACTGGTTATTAATACAAATTACTTTTATATTGTTTGGTATTATCTATTATAGAGTTTATTCAGCCGTTAACTATACTACTTACTATTGATTGTACTTATGCATGAATAATTGATACGCATATTCATTTGATGTGAGTTCTTGACACATTTCATGGAATTAAAGTAGTTGCTTTCCATAATGCTTGTAAAACTTTTTTCTTTGAATTCACATGGGGCTAAGGTCAAACACGTTTTTGACAGCCAATTGTCTAGATGCGGCAGGCGGGAGAATTAAGCAGCACAACGGATAGAATGGTCTTATTAGTGACGATAGTATAGTGTATGGTGACGATAGTGAGCGTCAACGATGGTGGATATGGATGTGAACGATGGTTGTAACGGCGGCTCTATTGTAACGGTGGCTCTACAGTAACGGTGGTTCTATGTATTAAGGTCTGTGACAAAGTTATGTATTCACAGTACTATACAGTAATTATTGCCCCATATTTCTTCTAAACTGACAACTATTACTGCTTGAAGCATGTCAAACTATCAATTGTAAAGAGCTTGAATAGGAAGGGGAAAAAAAACGTTGTTGGCAACGTGGACAGCCCAACAAATCATATGTGCTTAGCACAATTAGAGTTGAACGAAATGTATAGTATGAGGACTGCATACGGAAAATAGTAGGCCTTGTGCCA